TTAATCCCAGGTTTTCCAATGGTTCTCTCACCACTGTCAGATCATGATGAAATCCTGAAACTTAATGAACTCAGTGTTCACAATTGCCATTGCCAATACTTTGCTCGTTATTTTCCCTAGAACCTATTTTCTTCTAACACTAGTCAGACAAAAGCATTCAACTATTAATACTTGCCATTTGGTTAAAATTCTTTGTAGAATATTATTACTCAAGTGATAGCGTTATATCTCTTTAAGCCTTTCAGCAAATTTCTTAACAAGGAATAAAAATGTAATCTCACCCACCTGGCCGATGGTAAACCTGAAGATTTTCGGTCAGTTCTCTCCCTTGACTTTCAGCTCTTTGGTCATGAGATCGAAGAACTTTCACTTACAGATTTAAAAGCGGCCAGTTAATACCACCAGCAATACTAAGGCAACTGTTAATATTACTGTTGTCGTTCCCTTGGGTTCTGAGTGGACATCTTCATCTTGCCCCCTGTGTTACCCATGAACTCTTGTCTCCTCCTCATATGACTTCTTCCACGTCGTCATGGGAAGTCTTATTCAACGTTTTCCATTCTAATTCCATTAGAGGCCTTGGAGTTCTGTTTCACTCAACGGTCCTGTCAGCGTGTGTGTCAGGTCCACCTCCACTTGGTTGCTTCGTCGGTTCTTTGCCTGCCAGGATCCGTTGCTGCTCATAAAATCTGACTGGCGATTGAACTAGGCAGCAGTTGATAAATGCCTGTAGCCTGTTATAAACGCTTTTCATGATGCGCCGAGTCTTTGTACCATATCAGATTACTGACTCGATCTTGATGTTGAAAATCAGAATCTTCTTGCTTATTCTCAGTGAAGGAGGTGCCTACAGTTATTTCAGAATAATAAAGTCCTGTTCTTCCGATCTTATCTTCGACATCTTCAACAGTGCAACGTACCTAGATAAGTTATGGTAGCAATCTCTTTCAAAATTTCTCCCATTGCTAGTGACTGAAGCTTTTAATAATAATTATTATTATTTACTTTATTCCAAAACAGACAGTACTTGTAATACATAATGGAATTCTTAGCATTTGTCACAATATTGCATCTGATTTACTCAAAATATAAATAAAATTAAAAATTAAAACAAAATTAAATAGAGGAATTAGTCTACATTTACGGCATAAAGTCAAAAATATTCGAAGTACGATTTGGCAATAATAAATGTAATAACAGTGAGTTTGTTTCAAACAGTATTGTCGATTCAGTTTAGAATCTTTAGCATGTTATGGATTATTACACCTAATATTCTGTTGATATAATATGGTGAGGGGAAATACAAAATTAACAGTTATAACACAGCTTAAATTATGTTTACACTTATGAAAAAATAAACAAGTAAAAACAAAAATTGAGAGGATTATAAATATAAGAAGTACAATAACAATAAAGGTTGCTATTGTAAGGGTGGAGGAAATGGTTTATTTAATAGTGGAAATAAGGTTAGTTAGTTCATGCCTAACACTATTTTCATCATATAAAGTATGTGCCAAATATGGCATAGTACAATTTTTATACATAGACGCACGTGCATTAAAGTTTTATGAAATGGCTTCTTGTTTTGCCTAAGGAGGAGACACAAGGTTGGAGCTGCGGGTACTGTAGTGGATGCTCACAGTCTGACAAAGTTCCTTTAGCAAATTTGTTGCATGAAATCGAATACTCATCAATGACGATGTCAACGATATGTGATACCACTCGCCTTACTGACAGTCAGTCTTCAGAGTTCTAAGAAGTATGATAGTCATTTTAAGCAATCCAGGAAAGAATAAGCAAGGGTGGACAGTAAAGAAGAATAGGTGAGGTGCATGAGTTGACAAACTGTGAGAGGAGCGGTTGGTTGAGTTATGCCTGAGTGCCTTAACTTCTTAATGTAAAAAGTCAGATGAAATATTCTTTTAGAAATCCCTGAGACATAGGAGGACCAGGATAGGTCATAAGAAAGAATTAATCCAGGATACTTAACTTCAAACTAAATTTATATATCAGTATCATCAATTTTGCAACGGTCATAGGAACCAATGGCTTCATTTAACTTACTATTACATTGGAAACTGAAATTAACAGTCTGACATTTGGAAGGATTTAGTTTAAGACCATTAGACGAGGACCATTTGCTAACTCCTGATCGAAAGCTGTTCATCTTAGTACAGTCAAGCTGGGAGTTAACAGACATTGAATTAGTTAGGTCATCCGCATACTTAACAAAGTTCATTTCATCAGAGTGAGGCAAGTCATGCAAGAAGAAGGAAAACGGAAAAGGAGAAAAGACAGCGCCTTGAGGGACACCAGCCTCAGTAAGCAACGAAGTTGATGAATTCCCCTGACATACAGTATACTGCTTTCTTCCTGAGAAATAAGAATGCAGCTATTTGAAAACCCAATCGTCAGTTTGTTGTTGTTGTTGGTCGGTGAGTACTTTCATTACCTCTGTCTTCTCTATATATACTTCATGTCCTCTCTTTGCTGACTGCCTCTTCTAACAACATTTTTCCTATAGTTCCATATTAGTTTGTTTATTAAATGTATCACATTTCTCCTGTAGATCTTTGAATTTGTGTGACATAAATAGTTTGCGAAGTCCAGATCTTTTGCAGCCTTATTATTGGTCCGACGTACTGCTGTCCTCTTTTTCTCTCTCTCTCTCTCACAGTAGCCTGCTGCATGATCCATTCTGTCACAGTGGGAAATATCACCGGTGACAGGAGACAACCTTGTCTTACTCCTGTCTTCAATTCAAAGTCTTCGTTGAGTTTTACCTTATGGATGGTTTGACATGTAGCTTTTGTATGAGAGCGATGAAAGTTTTGAGCAGTTATCAAATTACTTTGTAGTCAAAACTGTTGAAGAACAACAGGTGTTACTGTTCTTCAAAAGTAACTTATTACATGTTTTAAAGAAATCTCAAGCAAAAATGTTTTTTGTCGGTGATGAAGCATTTTTCGCCTCCATAATCCCAGCCTATGATTGAGCTTCAGTATGATCAAATTACGTGTTCAGATTTATTATCCAGGGCATTAAAGTTAATTCACAATTGAATAAAATAGGCATGACATAATACTCATGTCAGTTAACGGTGAAATTCACCCTATAATCAACTAAATCCCTGCCGTTCAACACCTGAAAACTAATCCATTACTCATAATATCTAAAACAATTTGTCCCTTTTATAAATTTGCAGAATATTGTTATTAGAAGACGGAGATTATCTTAAAGGTATGTGATGATGTATTTGTGCTAAACATTTCAAACAATCTGATCACGCACACATTTACTTGTCAAGTCGATATCTATGAGAAAGTTAAATTAAACAAAGTGACAAAAAAAGGATTCAAGAATGATTAACACAACGTTTGGTAATCCAATCATCAAACACGGATTACCAAGGTAGGTTCAGGGTAATGATGAACTGTTTTTGAATACACAATGTTAGGGGTGGGGGGAATGTGGCTTAAGTTTATGAATAGCTATAGCCTCGACGTATTTCAGTAAGCGCCCTTGACCAATTTTATTTCCCCGTTTATTTCCCTGTTGTATGGTATTGTAATGAAAACGTTTTTCTTAGGGGCGGTATAGATTACAGATTCAGAGACTAATTGACTTCTGCACCTGTTTAAAAATTTTAAAGGATATCCGTTTTCAATAAGAATATCCATCAATATTTCATTTTCTTTGTCTATAAAGTCAGTCGTGCAAAAATGTTGAATCCTCTTAAATAGACATTTCACCAAGCCTCTCTTATGTCGTAATGGACAGAAACTGTGAAAATTGAGGTATTGATCTGTCCATAAAAATAATGAATTATGAAAACCAATAGATGCAGATATCAGACTACCAACTTCGTCTATAGCTAAACATCTAATCGAGATGAACCATAAGATTGATGCTAACTCAACCTTTAAAGTCATCTATAAAAATAGTCGAGGGCGCTTACTGAAATACGTCGAGGCTATAGCTATTCATAAACTTAAGCCACATTCCCCCCACCCCTAACATTGTGTATTCAAAAACAGTTCATCATTACCCTGAACCTACCTTGGTAATCCGTGTTTGATGATTGGATTACCAAACGTTGTGTTAATCATTCTTGAATCCTTTTTTTGTCACTTTGTTTAATTTAACTTTCTCATAGATATCGACTTGACAAGTAAATGTGTGCGTGATCAGATTGTTTGAAATGTTTAGCACAAATACATCATCACATACCTTTAAGATAATCTCCGTCTTCTAATAACAATATTCTGCAAATTTATAAAAGGGACAAATTGTTTTAGATATTATGAGTAATGGATTAGTTTTCAGGTGTTGAACGGCAGGGATTTAGTTGATTATAGGGTGAATTTCACCGTTAACTGACATGAGTATTATGTCATGCCTATTTTATTCAATTGTGAATTAACTTTAATGCCCTGGATAATAAATCTGAACACGTAATTTGATCATACTGAGGCTTAAATCGTAGGCTTCAGTTAGAAGTTGAACCAAGTGGAGTACAATAAAAATGAGTTTGATGACTAATACTCACCGTGTATTCAGCTCCTGGTGAAGTTGTGAGCATCAAACGCCGAAGAGTCTCACACTGGTACAAAACAGCTCTCCAACACTCCCAGGTTTTCAATACTTCTCCAAACAATTATGATTTATAATGAAAGCTACCTTGAAATTAATACATAATTTCAGGACGAAAAGTTTGCTTTCCCTAATTTCCGCTCAAAAATGATAAATAGACGATGATAAAATATCCAGTTTGACTAATTAATTAACTTGTGATTGAGTGTGTGAGAGTGTGTGTTTGTGTAATAGAATGAAATCAATACATATATATTTACTCAAGTGTCTTCCTCAGTTTTTTATTCGCCATTTCTCCCCTACCCACCCCCCTCACGGTATCATTTCTGCATCAGAATACTCAAATATTATTTGGGATATTTTTTTGAATAATTTTTTCACCACTCTCTTATAACATACAATCCACCAATCATATGAAGCGTATACATTTCTCATCTGCTACTATCTATTTAATCTAAACTCCATGATACAAATAAAAGAGTAAAGAAGACATTTTTAGTTAAATTTAATTTTTATTCTATTTAAGAGTTAATATTTCCAAATTCATCAATTTTACAACAAAAAATGATAATTATAACTGAAAATTTGATTGAACCGCCTTCCTAATTAAATATTGAATATTGAACAGCGTTAAAATGGTATACATAAACAATGAAATGTGTATGAATCATGTGATGTGAGTTTTAAAAAAAATTTATTTTATTGATTCGTGAATTTAATTGTACTTACTAATTAATTAATTAATTAATATATCAAAACAAGTATTTTATCATTTTGAGAATGTTAGCTTGTAATGGACATTGAAAATTGTTAGTTTTATGTGGCCTTCATTGATTCCAGCTCCTACTTGAATAGACTTATATGACTCTTTTGGGTTTAAATTCGGTATTTATCGCCACTAGTTAAACAATGCATGATTGCTCATCGGTGGAGATTATTGTCTTACCGACTTAAGGAATCCATTTTTTATTCACTGAAACCTGAGTTCAAATTACTGAGTTCGCCATGTTCAACTTGGACAAGTAAGGAGTATCACCAATCGTTGCACAATAAATGTAACCTATAGTCTTGCGGTAAGTAAACATATTCTGGGTAGCTGAATTCTAGCAATGAGTTTACTTCAAAGCTGATGTACTTATGTTAACAGCTGGTTTGTAAACTATCTACTTGTGCAATTGACTTTTGAGATAACTGGTCACTAGCTTATCGTTCATACCTACCCGATCACAACTCTTATCCAAAAGCCCCAACATGGAGGATGATTTACAGAGTGATTTCAAACTCTCGGTGGGTAATACTTTAGCAACAGCCAAATGTTTTTCCTCTCTACAGTATCGATTTCATTACTGCCTGTATTATTATTATTATTATTGATAATCCCATTATAATGAAGGTATTCTGTATTTCCCAATGAATGAAAAATAAAACGATATCGTTGTTTCTACCGACGTTTCGCTATTTAATTTTGCTGCCAGCAGCTTTTTCAAAGTAGGTGTGTTAAACCAGAATTTACAAAATCCATTCAGCTTATATATAACAACTTAATCAGCCAGTTGGTAAAGATAACAAAACCAGGTCGGTGTAGATTGCTGGATTTGATAAGTGTGTAAAATTATGAGAGAGTTGCAAGTGCCTACATATTGAACTTGCATATCACATCCCTGTTGATTTTGTCACTTCATGGGGTAAGGGGGCGAGGGAGGTGTTTTAACCAGGTCAAATTCTGTTTAAGTCCATCATTCCTATTTAGCTCAGGCAATTCGGACTCCACTTGATATGAAGTGCTTCTGATGATATTAGACGCCAACTGTGATTTCTGAAGTGCTTTTTGTGGATTATTTAAATATAGTCAAAATCAATTTTGTAGCCTGATTGTACAGCGTAGCTTGTAGACCTCTGGCTTGTTGATGATTTTTCAAGCTTTTGTAGTCCACTAGCTGGATTTCTTGGTGGTGGAATAGACACTCACTCCACGGTGTTCAAATCTTCTGATTACCTTGATTTCTCTCTGATGAGGTTTGTACGATGTATATCGCATCACATTCCAAGGGTTTTATTTTTTATAGACAAAATTAGATGGAGAATCTTTAGGGATTTGATCTTTTATATGGACAAGGTTGTTTTCGCAGTGTGTCTCATGTTTTGAAGAAAACTCTGATGTCGATCTTACTGAGAACTCTTCTGATATCGTCTGACGTCTCTGCTGTATATGGAATGGCAACTGTTAAGGTTCAAGTTTTCAGAATACGTTTTCGACCATATTTCATGTCAGTGTTGATTTTGTTGATGAATTTCCTTGGGGAGTTGTTTTTCCAGAGAGTCTCAGTAATCGTCGATATTTCTTCTTCTTTTTCTTTCTCATCCGTCAACATCAAATAGTGTGCTCATCTAAGAAGACTTGAAACAACTGATACGTTTCATTTGATGGGGTATGATGATCCGAAGTCTGAATATTTGTTGGAGTTGGCTTTCTTCCTGAATATAGATACACTAAAATGTCCGTTTTCCCTCTTCCTAACTAGCCAGCCAGTCTAGAAGTCGTAGTTCACCGATGTCTGATTCTGCTCATCAAGCAAACTGGATTCTGGGAGATACACTATTTATTTTCTCCAAAAATGAACCGTGTAGATCTTGTTTTAGTACTACAAAAGTATCATCAACATATCTTGAAAAGACGTTATCTTCAAAACTGTTTATAAAAAGATCAGCGACTATTGGGAAAACTGGTGAACCCTTAGCAACACTATTTGCCTGTCTATATAAAATCCCTTCAAATGCAAAAAAGTTACTTTCTAGACAGAATTTTGAGCTCTTAATTATTTCACTATTGTCCAGTGAACATTTTTGTGATAGTGTTGTATCTGATTCGAGTGAACTGGAAATGATATCAAGAATTTCGGTGACAGGCATACTAGTATATAATGAATTAATATCATAATGTCTTCTTTATCAATTTCTCGGTGTTCTACTTGGGATTCGGAATCCTGTGAATCTTTTATAATATTTTCAGTGTCTTTCTGCAGTCGTTGTAGTACCGAAAATAAGTATTTAGAAAGGTTGTATGTCGGTGGTTTAGTGAAATCTACTGCTAATCTTAATGGAACTGTGGGTTAATGTATCTTTGGTTGACTATAGAATCTCGAAGGTGCATAAGATTTTGGTTTTAGTTTAAACCAGAGAGAATTTGGAATTTTGGGTTTCAGTTCTTGAAGGCGTCTGTTGGTATTTTATTTCATTTTGTTAAAGTAGGCAGATTTCTTCTTTTCTTCGGATAGGTGTTCAGTCGCCTTATTCAAGCAGGTAAATGCTAAACAGACGTGACTTCAGTGTATAAAGCGCCAGCGCAAATGAGATGTGAGCTAATGACTCTATTTCAATAAAGCAAGAACAAGAGTGGTAGTTTGTGCAAAATACAAGATGGTACTATCATCACTTATTTCGTCGGTTTCTCATCAACTGCTTTCAGTCTAAATAAATTATGAGGTTTATGTACAGAAAAGTTTTAACATACTTACAAATTTTGCTTTCATGATGTCAGTTGACAGAAGGTTCTGCAATTAGTGAACACTGCTCAGAAGATTGCGCTTATATGGTTTTTACACAGGCAGTTCAAGTTTAAACAAAATCAGTGTATGTATACAATGGTGAAGGAGTTACGTAATAAAGATGAGAGAGGCGTAAGATGTTGAATGACTAATAAATAAGGTAACAATGTACTGAGTTCAACTCAAATCACCGAAACACGAACCAAGCAAAGTTACAAATTATAAAAGGAAGGTGAGGTTAAAGACAAAGAGAGAGAGAATAAAGACATTCAGTTACAGGACAGGGCAAGGAAAGACTGACGCTAGCTGTTTTTTTCTGAACACATAAATCTAGTTTCAAGCACGTTTGATAGAAATTGCATTGGCAAACTTCTACACAAACCAGTGTTCTTCTTGCCTTATTCAAATTCATCAAGGGGAAATGAATGCATGAAAACTCTATTTAAATTTTCACTTTACATACAAAGGTAGATTATGTGAACTACTTAAAGGAATAATTTCAAAACTTAAATATAGGCGCAAACATGACTGTCGATTGATCAGAGTGGCCAGGTATATTTGTGTAGTCCTCCAGCCTTATCAACATAATCCAGTGGACTTCTTCATGGGCATTTATACGTAAATAAACTTTGTTTTGTAAGTAATCAATTATTTAAATGACGCAGTTGTATCCTATCCACTCAAATATTCTACTGAAATATATATATATATATATATATATATATATACATATATAACCACGGATTTTAAGTTTTCGAAAATAATAAACAACTATCATGGTTTTGCAAGAGTTAGCTTGTAAGAGCTTGGTTAATTTAAATTATGATGACGGATTCATGTCAGTTAGAGAAACCGGGGAAACTGGAGAGTATTGTAGGGCTTTTTGTCCTAGTTTATGACTCTTCAGCAGTACGCACCGATTGACTCGCGATAGCGCTAAAATCATCAACCAGTAGAAGTTAGAATTCATGGTTCCCTGGATCGCGTCTCGATGGCTGCATGGTCTACAAGGTTGTCATGTCACCAGAAGATATTTTTATTATTCCTTCACTTCCCCAGTGGAACATAGGGGGACTTCAAGCTAGAGGCTTGAAGTTTCTATAGCAGTGGTATTTATTTTTACAGGATGGAGTTGCTGCTAGCCTCATGTGCCCAACCTTTCCTCTTTACCAGCTTTATTTCAGGCTTAGCGAGGTAATGGAGAAGTGCGTTGGTGGCCTTGGATTGAACCCCGGACCATGTGCATGGTCGACGAGCATTCTAACCGCTGTGTCACCGGAAGGTCTTGGGTTCTAATTCCAGTGGGTGAATGTGGTTGAAGAGTTTCACACTAGGACAAAACAGGTGTCCAGCACTCCTTGGTTTTCAGGAGTCTAACCAGAAACCTTCAAGTCAGCAGTAGGATGCTCCACCAATTCCACCAGATGAGACCCAGTTGCTTACTGAATAGCTCACCACCTTGGATAAAACCTGGCTGTTATGTAAATAAACTAAACATTACTGTTCATTCGTCAAAACATCAGCTCCAGACAAGCTAGGCCTTAGTTTTGCCATCCTAATTACACTAAATTAAAACCAGCTGGGGCAAGTTGTCCTCCGGGTGGTGAAACTAAGCATTACTGACTTGAGTTGACATACCGTCACTATTTGGAGGCGAGGAAGGCTGTTTACTGGAATTCTGCTATATGACTCAGATTTCCATCTCATTTTCACTCATCATCTCATCTGCATTATTTTGTTTTTATCTAACTACTGGGAAGTCAAAGGTTTTATTGCATAGAGGATTTCATTATGGGTTGACATCACTTAGAGAACCACTGGAAAACCTGGGAGTACTGGACAGCTGTTTCCACGGCCTAGTTTGGGACCCTTCAGCAGTACGCATCCACCGCTACGGGCTTCGAACCCAGGACCTTCTGGTTACAAGGCGAGCTTGTAGACCATTGAGTCACTGGGACCCACCAGTTCAATGGCCAGCCAGTTCATGAATTCTACCTTCTGCCAATTCACGATATAGCGCGACCATTTCTCAGTGTCTTCTTCGATGAGTTACTACCTTATCTTCAACCTGCTGTACCCTACTGGTCAGGGCTTCCCACTAGAACCCCATGTTAGTTGCCTGAATAGGACC